CCTGAACATAGAACCAGGAGTAAGCCCTGAAACAAAAGTTTTCTTGTCTAGGACTGAGAAGTCAGCACAAAGGGCTAGTGTATATGTCGGAGGGCTGGGTTTAATCTCCAGCACCCCATGCCCCCCCTCTTCCAGCACTAGGAATGACCCTGAAGCTCCGGGGCAGAAGTACCCCTGAGTACCACTAAGTGTGGCAAAAAAATGTTTTTCTTTGTTGAAGTACAGTGAACTTCCTGTATCCCACATGAACTCAGCTGACACCCACAGATACCATTTGACACTTACAACAGTGGGAGAGCCCCGTTAATTAGGGTCCTATGTCACATCTATATTTGTTTTGTTTTCAGCGAGCTCCTTGCCCGCTGTGCTATCTCTCTGCCGCCCTGTCCTACATCTGGGTGAGCTGTGTTCACTTTCACTGTCTAGTTTTCCCCTGCTTCTTGTGACTGTGACTATTTTCATGCCTCTTCACCTAGCTTGTATTTTGGGGCTCTAGGCAGACAGCGTCAGGGGCACCTAGACAGAGGGCAAGCTTTGCACTGATTCCTGGGGATGAGGGATGGGCTCGGTCTGCTAAAGAACTGAGCTGGCTTGGGGTTGGGTTTCCATTTTTACCTCTGGCTTATCTCTGCTCCTCACTCGTGGAGTCTTGCACCCTGCCAGCAGTGTCTCTGGACTCAGGATCATCTCCAACAGTGCTCGGGATTTTTGTGATGCCTGGATCTAGGGCTTCGTGTCCAGGTCCTTGTTCTTTCAAACACTGTGGTTTACAAAGCTGTTCATGATGATTTGTTCCAGGCATTCAATATTCCTACCCCAATCCCACCACCACTGTCACCTTCCCTCCACCAGGGTCTCCATCCTCCCAACCACCACTCAAGTCTGCCCCTGTCGCACGCCCACAATAACTTATTTTATATTGCTTGTTACAAATAATGGAGTGGTCAAAAATGGTTTCCATAGGAAGAATTATGAAAACTATGGTATTTCACCATGAGAACATGAAATCCTTGTGTGAGGTCTTACTAAGCTGTTGTTGCAAGTTAACCTTCTGTGTTAATGTTTTTGTTAGTCGAGAGTGGTTGATATCTACATTATATCCCATCTAACCCGGCGATTCTTGAGGCAGGGGCTGACTTTGTGTTGGGGACTCTTTCTTCCTGGGGAATCCTCTTGGGTGGCAGGAGATTTCACTCTGCTCCTCCAATTCATCCTAAGGCCCCAAACCCAGCAGCTGTCATGGGGAGGGAATTGCTGGTGTTTTGAGGTCTCCCTTTTTCTGTGGTTGCCCCTGGTTCCGTGTGACCACTGAAAGCTTTCCTCTTGGCTCCAGCAGATGTCTTTTCTCTGGACAAAACTTGATCATCAGCCAGTATCCCAAATTGATAATTGTCCTTAGGAAGGGAAGAGGGACCAGTTCGAGAGCCTGTGGCCTGCGGCGACTGACTCCTCTGACGAAGAATCAGAAATCTCTAGACTTTGGAAACTCTGACCTCGCCTTTTTACAAACTATGGTCTCTAGGATGTGTTTCGAAATCTCGGAGTTGACTTTTCTCTCTTGGTAAACTTCTGATGCAATATCATGACCTGACACTTTGGGTGTCAACATAGGGCTCCAAATTTTCAAACTGTCGGTCAGAACCCACCCGTGGGGGTGTGAAAGCAAGTTCTCAGACCTCATGGGCTCTTTAGAAGAAAGCAAAACAGATGGTGCCAGTGCATATTACACAGGGCAAAGTTGTGATTTTTTGCATGAACTTTTCATTTTGTGTGTGTTTGAGTGCGTGTGTGTATGAATTCATGTGTGTGAATGCGCGCGTGTGTGCTTGTGTGTGTGTGTGTGTGTGTGAGAGAGAGAGAGAGAGAGAGAGAGAGAGAATGCTGTGGTTTGCAATGTAAAACCCATTTCTTCCTGTGGGTTGTAGTTCAATGTGTTTAAAAGTCACTAGACTTTAGTTTAAAACAGAAAAAGGGCCAAAAGGGGAGAGAAAAAAAAAAGATCAGAACGAGACTTATTTTTTGAGTTTGGACAAGCTTTTGGAGAGGTTTAGCCAAAACTTGTAGTTTAGTGGGGAGCAGATGGACTGGACACTGCTAGTGGCCCGAGGGCTCTGCTGGGGGACCAGGCCCTTGAGTGAGGGCCCGCCCCCACAACACTGTGGCATACAGAGCAAGAGAAGAAATGACCACCCCACGTTGGTAAAGATCAAGAAAACCCCAGAGAAGACTGTGCCTGGAACTCAGGAAGAAGAAGGCCCGGGTGCTGGCACAAAGGCGAGGTCAGCTGAGGGAAGGAGAGACAGGCCTCTGGCGGGCTGGCGGGGCCTGCTGTGAACCCGTGGCTGGCACTTCAGGAAAGATAGGCTTGCGGCCATACGATGGGAGAGGCAAGAATGTTGTCCTCTCCTTCCTGCTTGCCTGACCCCAAAGACAGACAGACAGAACAGACACACACACACACACACACACACACACACACACACGGAGAAGCATGAATGTTATCCTCTCTATCCCTGCTTTCCTGACCCCAAACACAAATACACACACACACAGACACACAGACACACACACATACACACCACACACACACACACAGGACTGGGAGAAGGGTGAACGTTGTCCTCTCTTCTTCCTGCTTTCCTAACCCCAAACACACACACATGCAAGCATGCCCCTCCCATGAAGGCCACCCCTGGGAGAGAGCAAGCTCCAGCAGGAAGAACCAGCAGGTTTCCTGGTCGGGAGGAAGGGTCTGGTGATCGCCTTGTGTCTTAAAGAAAGAGGAGGGACACTCCCCAACTCACCCCTGCCCAGGGCGCGGCCCCCTCAGAGCTCAGGAGTTTAGAGCACCCTTGTCCTCAGCCCCTGCACTGGCCACACAGAGGAGGGCCCATGTGCTGCGTTCGCTACGCAGACAGACATTCTGCAACTGCTCCTGGCCTTGTCCTGCAGCGGGCTCCTAGCCCAGGGACTGACACTCAGGCCCCAGCCCTGCCTGTCTTTGCTAGAGTCTGACCTTTACCCTGCTCTAGGCATACTGGTTCAGTCCTGGGGCTCTGCTGGAGTTTGGGGAAAGACTTAACGCTCAGCCCTGCTTCCACCCAAGCTTTCTCTCTCCCTCCTCAGCCTCCCGAGCAGGGTTTGTCCTCTTCATCTGGGCTCAGGGCTCACCTTTCATAGAGACCACCCATCCCTCCCGCCTGGGCTGGGAACCTCATGCTCTCTGGTCCCCCACTGCCTCTCTCCCACACACCTGTATCCCTTGACTGGCACTGAGCTTGCCGGGAGGCACGTCTTGGGCTCCCAGGAGGTTCCCTGGCAGTGCTCACCTAGCGGATGAATTTGTAGTCTGAGCCTAACTCTTCCACCTTAAAAGCCCGTTGGTCAACATCAGAGTGTGTGTTTATGGGGGGTTTGGAGCAGAGGAAGCTGCCCCCACTGGGACCAGGGCCCTGCTAGAAGTCCCTGGCCACCACTGACTCGAGTGGGCTGTAAAAGCCACTGGGTACCCGTGTGATGTGCGATAGCCCTTGCCAAGGAGACAGAATCTACGATGGGTGTGCAGCGGCCCCAGGAAGCCAGCACGTGGCGTCTGAGCAGATCCTGTCAGCCACAGAGGCGGCCTGGGAGGAGCTGACCACCACCAGGACCCCCTTAAAGCCTGTGCAAAAGGGAGCGGGAGAAAGAGACCACGTCAAGGGGAGACCAGCCTGTCCAGAGGGAGATCTCGTAGCCTCCCTCCTTCAGTAAATCCTCTCTAGGGAAGGGGCCTCCTAGCCGGCTGCCCCCTGCCTGCCAGGGGCCCCGGAGGTCTCAGCAACCTGCTGTTCTGGGCTGAGGATCAAACCCACCTGAGACTGGGAGATGAGAGGCCTAGCGGTGGGGGGTGGAAGAAGACCCCCAAAGGGCAAAGGGATTAGCCCTCTGAAACCAAGCAGTTCAGCCAATCAGAGGGGCGAGGCTGGTTCTAAGCCAACATCAGGGTCCGTTCACAAAATGAGTGTCCTACAGAATGACACTGGTAGGGAGGACCAGCTGACGGGCCCTGGGTGTGGTTGTGAGGACCTGCAGAGGGGGTGAGGTGAGGCTCAGTCACTGTGACTAGGCATGAAACTGCAGTTGCTTTAACATCACCAGGAGGTCAGTTAACACTGCACAAGGGGCTTGACTCCTAGGTCCATAGCCCAGACACGACGACCTGACCACATGAGACCCGCATGGACAACCAGAACAGTGATCTTAATCTTCATAATCACCCCGGAATGGGCCCAAACAAAGCGGGGTGCGCATGAAGGGAATACTAGGCGGGAAGGAACAGGAGGAGCCGCAGAGCTGAAACAGGACGGACACGAAGCCCACAGCAGTTGATCCCCAAAGGTGCGGTTCTTTCACTGGGAGGATACGCGGAACCCGCGGCGGACACCATACACAGTGGTACTCAGGGGTGTGAACTGGGCAGAGGAGAGCCTGCTGACGGAAACGGTCTTTTAGTTTTGGGAAGATGGGGCGTTAGGAAACGTCCTGGCGCTGGAGAGTGAGGGTTGCACAACTTGGCGAACCTATTTTAAAACCGCTGAGCTGTACGCTTTGCTTTCCAAGGTGGGAACTGCTGGTCCGTGAACGGGAGCGCGGGTGTCCCCTGTGCCCCCACCCCTCCCCACCCCCACTCAGGACAAGCTCAGGGCCCAGGAATGGTGTACCCAGAAGGCCTGCGGGGAGCACCGCGGGGACAGAGTCTCAGGGGAACCGCTTGTGGGCGGGGGGAGGGGGGTGGCACCGAAAGGGACCTGGAAGAAGGTGGCAGGGGGAGGCCCCCGGAGGTGGCCGGCGTGGGGAGATGCGCAGGCCGGCGGCGGGGCTCCTGGAGAGGCGGGGGCGCATTCCCCGCCCGGGTCCCGCCGGGGCCCCGGGGGCGCGGGGGCGCGCGCGGGGGCCCCGGGGCGGGGGTCCCGGGGGCGGGCGCAGGCGGGCGCGGCGCGGGCGCTTTAAGGAGGCGGCGGGGCGGGGCGGCCGCGGGCCCGGCGCGCGCGAGCCTCAGTCTGCCCGGGGCCGGCGGGCGCGGCGCTGCCTCCTCCCGGGCGGCGGCGGGGAGGAGGCGGCCTGGGGGCGCGAGCCGAGCGGGTGAGTGATCGCCGGCCCGCGGCCGGGGGCGGCGGGTGGGGGAGCGCCGGCGCGCCGCCCCCGGCCCGGCCCGCGCTTTGTTCCGCGGGGGGAGGAGTGGCCGCCCCCGGGGGGACCCCCGGGGCTGAGCCCGCAGGCCCCCGGGTAACGGTCTGCGGGCGGCGAGCCGGCCGCGGTGGACGCCCCCTGCGGAGGCTCCGTGCCCCCCCCCCCCGCCTCCGCGACCACCACCCGGGGGTCCGAGCTGGACGGCGGGACTCGGGGCCAGGGTTCTGCCCACCCCCCCTTTAAAATGGCGTTTGGGGGGTGCAGGGATCCGCCGGGGAGTTGTCACGTCCGTCTGAGTAATGAGAAGCAGCCGGCGCGCTGCAGGCCCGCTCCGCGCCCGGGGCCACCGGCTCATTCATTGAGGGCCGCGGGGAGGGCGAGGGGGGCCGCGGGGAAGGTCGGGGCGCCCACCGAGGCACCCTCACCCCAGCCCGGTGTGCAGAGCACCCCCAGGGACCCCGCAGCGTCGCTGGAAGCGCGGCACCCGCCCCGCTGTGAGACCCGGTGGCAGGAACTGAGATGCGCGCTGGTGGGGGGGGGGGGGGCGGAGAGGGGGGACAAAGCTAAGCCGGGGGATGGGGGCGTCTCCGGGAGCCCTGGTGCAGACCCCTCTCTCCCCTTGAGTCCCTCCTGGGACCTCTCAGGCTGTGTGTTGGCGGGAAGGAGGCGGCTGTGGGGCTCTGTCCTCTAGGACACTCTGCAGGGACCTGACCCCAGGGTAAGGACAGGGATGGACATTGTGGCTTCTGGGAGTTCTAAGGGGACCTGACTTAGCCCTGGGACCCCACTGTAAGAACAACCTCTAGCCACAGCCTGACGCTTACTGGGATGAGCTTTTTTTTTGGGGGGGGGGAGGTGCTAAGTATTCCTTTGTATTGACCCCCTGCCCCTCTGGGACTCAGAGGGTCAGTAACTTGCCCACAGGGGTCCTGTTTAAGAGACCAAGCTTTTGTCCTTGTGACTGCTGTCCCCCCTTGCCTGATGCCCTCCGAGGACCCGCTCAGCCTCTGGGCACCAGCTGGCTGAAGTGCTTGTCGGCTAATAGCTGACACGTGTCAAGGGCTGGGCACTCACGCAGAGACAGTTAGGAGTCCCTCCTGCCTCCCTCTAAGCCCTCACTGCATCGCTGAGGTTTGGTACTGGGCCCTATTTCCTGTAAACCTCTTGTTTCTGCCAGGGGGATTTCACCCTTGGGTCAGTTCTCATTGCCCAGGCAGCAGTTGGTGTCCCCTGGCTGTGGTTTCTGCTGGAATCTGTCCTCTGCCAGGGCAGATGCCAGAGGGGGTGGGTGGGGGAGGGGGACTTTGTTGCTCTGGGGTCTGCCAGCCCCTCTCAGAAGTGGCCTCCGCATTCCCTCCCGAGGGTGGGGGCGTGTAGCCTGGGCTCTCTGCGGCCCTGGAGCTGGGTGCGTCTCCTAGAGCCGCCTTTGCTCTGTGTATCCTCCACCCCTTATGTTTCCATCCATCGAAGATGCTTTCTGTGACGGGTGTGGTGTTATCAGCTCGAACCCCGGGTTCAAGCTTCCAGCTGAGCCGAGCTCTTGAGGGAGTGCCGTACCCCCGTTCCCGAACTCTGCGCCCCAACCACAGGGAAGATCACACTGGCTTTTGACAGACAGAACCAGTTCTCAGAGTGCCTGCTGACCAGTGGGAGGGCACAAGAGTCCGGGAAACTGGAAACTGGCCCTCCGGGGTGGGCAGTGCCCAGTGCAATGCCCTGAGCCCTGTGGTTCCTACGCACTGGCTTGCCCATATCAGCCCTCCCCCTATGAAATGAGAGCGAGCGCATCCTCTGTGGCGCTAGAACGTTCTTGGTATCCAGAGTGTGCACTGAGTCCCGGAGGCCGTGTGCCGGGGTTGGGACAGGCTTCGGGCAGCCTTGGGGGGCAGTTAGTCCCATTGGTCTGTGGCAAAGGCAGGAGCCAGGCAGACCCACAGGTGCCCATGGTCTGGAAGCTGCGCAGGGAAGTGACACTTGGAGAGGAATTTTCCCTGGGCTTTGATGTCCTGTCTGTCCTGGCTGAGGACTCAACGGTATTGAATCTGGGGACTCTATCGGCCGCCAATACCGACACCCAGAGCACCAGCTCAGCCCTCCCGAAGGTGCCATCAGTTCTTGTGAGCTCTTCGTGCCTTGTCTAGCAAATTCTTGGGAGAGGCAGCCAAGAAGACTCAGGGGCCAGACACTGAGCCAAGGGTTTGTTTGGGGGCGATACCCCGCGGTGCTCAGGGACTCTGCTGGAGGCAGTGCTCAGGGCAGGAATCCCTCCTGACTGTGGTCAGGGGGCCGTGTAATGCTGGGGTGGAACCGATAGCATGCAGTCCTGCCCTTTGAGCCCATCTCTGGTCTGTAATGGGGGAGGGCTGTTCTCTGCCCCTGCCCCCAGCGCTCCTTGGCCCGGCCCCTCTGCCTAGCTGCCCAGAGCCTTAGAAGCCTTTTGCTCCATTTTTCTGTAGCTCCCTGTGGATGGGGCCTGGCCATCGCCCTGCGTGTTTGGTTTCTTAATGTCCCTATCATTGTCCTCCAGTCCTCTTGGCAGCTTCCCTAGGTGGGACACACTGATGGCCGGAGGGCCAGATGCTCATGGGATCACGGCTGGCTACTGAGGTGACCACTCAGAAGGGCCGTGTTCTCATCCAGAGAGCCTGGCATCGGACCCCTGGAGGGCTAAGAAGAAAGCTGGTACCTGGATTATCAGGCTAATGAATTTGGAGAGCCCCGGGCAGGATTTGGGGGTGCTGTGTAGGTGGGGAGGGAGGGGGCAGGAGTTGAGTTCTGCCGCTCTGTGCCTCCAGGGTGGGGTCCGTGCTGGGGGGGCCCATCTGTGACTTCTGGGCCCAGGCCCAGGGTTGAAATGCATGGAGGAGAGTGTGTGGGGAACCAGGAAGGGCCCCAGAAATAAGAGCGTCCCAGGGCTCCTGCAGCTGCAGAGAGCCAAATCCCAGAGGGGTACAGTGGGGGATGGGGCCTGGGGTGCTTGATTCAAACCCCCGAACAAGCTCGTTTCTCAGCGATGGGGGGACAGTTGAGGGGTGCAGACGGGAGATTTCCTGGTGCCGGTATACAGGTACTGTGGGAAATTGGGGCCTCACATCAACCCTGGGCTTTGTTTGCTGGTTTTGGTGTTTGAGCCGCACCTGGCAGTGCCCAGAGGCTGCTCCTGGCTCTGTGCTGAGGGAAGTTTCCAGCAGTGCTTGGGGGTAGGGGCGCTGTGCCATGCTGGGGTTCCAACCCAGATCTCCCACGTACAGAGCTTGTACTCCAATCTATTTCCCCCTTTTCCTTCTTTCCTTTCTTTCTGCACCTGAGCCAGCTGAGTATGGCACCAACCCCCACCACCCCCAGAAAAAAAAATGAAGATGAATTTCAGGTCAAGATGAGGCCAGCAAAGGTTCGGTAGTAGCCCGACATCCTTGCATGGACGTGATCCCCAGGAAACTTCCTGTGGGCTTGGCGGGGAGGGTCCCTCCTGCAGGCTGGATCCTTTCAGAGGCTGAGGACGGACACCCAGAGCCAAGCCTGGCCTGTCCTCCGGGACGCCCATCCTTTTTTTTTTCTTTTTGGGTCACACCAGGCGATGCACAGGGGTTCCTCCTCGCTCTGCGCTCAGGAATTACCCCTGGCGGTGATAAGGGGACCATATGGGATGCTGGGAATCGAACCTGGGTCAGCCGCATGCAAGGCAAATGCCCTACCCGCTGTGCTATTTCTCCAGCCCAGGGACGCCCATCCTTGCAACGCTCTTTCCTTTCTCCCTCTCAGCACCCTGTCTGCGCCAACAACTCCATCCTCCAGCCCCAGCTGCCTCTGCTCCTTCCACTGCTTCCGGGGTGGTGGAGTTTTACGACAGCTTCTCCCGGGCCTCCCTCCTGCCCTGCTCCCGTTCCCGAACACCAGAGCTGGATCCTGGCGAGGGAGGCGAGGCAGTGGACAGAGGCAGCGGCCTTCCGTCCAGGGGTTACAAACGGGGCTGGTGTCTCAGAAAAGTTGCCACCATGTCCCGCCACTGGGGTTTTTCTCTTTAGGTGTGGGTGGGTCCCTCAGTGGTGCTCAGGAGACCCTGGAGAACTCTCATTCCACAGCACCAGTGGGTCAGTGCAAGTGTCCAAGGATAAAGTGTGTGGTGGCGCTGGGCTCAAACCCGGACAAGCACCCACGGACTCTGTGGCTCCGCTGACGGGCGTGTTTCCTCAGCAGAGGGAGAAGACAGGCTCCCAGTAAGAAGGTCGGTGATACCGAGGTCTGGTCGGTTCAGTTCAGGAGCAAGTTGGCCGGTATGGAACTAAGGCCCAGGGAGCTTAAGTCAGAGCCGGAGGGAAGGGGAACCCCAGGACTGCCCGTGCCCACCATGGCACTCACGGCTCCCTGCCGAGCTCGGGACTGTCCCTGGGTTTAACCACATGGAGCGGGGAGGGGGGGGGCGGGGGGGGGGAGGAAGAGGGCAATGGCCCAAAGCACAGGGGTGCCGGATGTCACAAGGCAGCCCAGATGACTTGGGGAAGGGGAGGTAGAGGAGAGGGGGAGGGAGGAGGGGAACCCTTGTCTCGTTAATCTCAGCCAGTGATCATCCCCCAAATCCACTGTGTTTGAAATACTTGGTAATGTTGAAAAAATAAAAATAGAAAGAGAAGAAATGTAAAGGCAGGAGCTGGAGCGATAGCACAGCGGGTAGGTGTTTGCCTTGCACGCGGTTGACCCTGGCTCAATTCCCAGCATCCCGTATGGTCCCCCAAGCACCGCCAGGAGTAATTCCTGAGTGCATGAGCCAGGAGTGCATCACCCATGTGGCCCCGGTGGGGGCGAGTCACCGTCCTCCAGGCAGGACAGGGCCAAAAGGATCCAGAGGCCCTCAGCCCACAAGCCTGTCACCAGCCCACACGCCCCTTTGGGAGTCTTGCTCCAGGTGCCCACATCCTGCCTCTTGTAGCTTCGGCCCCCTGAGTTATTTGATA